AATAACAGGCTCACTGAGAGAGAAATTAGGGAAATAATTCCTTTCACAGTAGTATCCAAAAAAATGAAGTATCTAGGAATCAATGTAACAAAAGAAGCAAAAGATCTCTACACTGAAAACTACAGCACTCTGAAAAAAGAAATTGAAGAGGATATAAAAAAATGGAAAGATATCCCCTGTTCCTGGGTAGGAAGAATCAACATAGTGAAAATGGCCATACTACCAAAACTTGTATATACATTCAATGCAATGCCAATTGAAATTCCAACACTGTATTTCACAGAACTAGAAAAAAGAATCAAAAAATTCATTTGGAGGCATAAGAGACTTAGAATAGCAGAAGCCATTCTAGGCAACAGAGACATAGCTGCGGGCATAACAATTTCCAATCTGAAACTATACTACAAAGCCACTGTGATAAAAACAGCATGGTACTGGCAAAGAAACAAGCCTGAGGATCAGTGAAACAGACTGGAAGACCCAAAACAATTCCAGATGTACTCAGCTACCTCATCTTTGACAAAGGAGCAGACTATCCCCACTGGAGGAAAGACACCCGCTTTAATAAATGCTGCTGGAAAAACTGGATCTCAATCTGCCAAAGATTAAAACTAGACCCTTACCTTTCAGCATGAAGTAAAATAAAGTCAAATTGGATTAAAGATCTAAATATTAAAGAGAAACACTAAACTTGCTGGAAGATAAATTAGGCAGAACTCTTAAAGACATTGGCATAGGAAAAGACTTTATGAACAAATCCTCAATAGCACAGGAACTAGCACAAAGAATCAACAACTGGGATCTCATCTTATTAAAAGGCTTCTGCATTGCAAAAGAAACCATCAACAGAACTAGGAGACAACCTACAATGTGGGAAAAAAAATTACTAGCTGCTCCTCAGACAAGGGACTATTATATAGAATATATAAAGAACTCAAAACAATCAGCCCCCCTCAAATATAAAGACCCAAATCAAAAATGGGCATCTGAAATGAACAGACATTTTCAGACAAAGAAGTAAAAGCAGAAAGTAAATATATGATGTTTCACATCATTGGTCATTCAAGAGATACAGATGAAAACAACACTGAGATTCACCTCACCCCACAAAGAGTGGCTGCTATCAAGAAATCATATGATGACAAATGTTGGTGGGGTTTGTGGGGAGAACAGAATCCTTCCCCATTGTTGGTGGGAGTGGAGACTGGTGCAGCCACTATGGAAATCAGTAAGGAGATACCTCAAAGAGTTCGGACTAGAGATTCCATTTGACCCTCTGCCATCCCTCTGCTGGGTATCTTTCCAAAAGAATTAAAAGAATCACATCACACTGATATATGCACACCAATGTTTATAGTGGCACAGAATCATATCACACTGATAGATGCACACCAATGTTTATAGTGGCACAGTGTGTAATATCTAAAACTTGGAAACAGCTCATTTGCCCATCAGTTGGAAACTTGGTAAGAAGATGTTGTTTTTCTATAAAGTGGAATATTACTCAACCATAAAGAATGAGAAATTAGATTCATTCATAGGAAAATGGATACATATTGAGGATATACACCTAAGTTAAATAAATAAGTCACACATGTGTAAATACGGAATAGTTTCTCTGGTGTGAATAAACTGTAATAGTACATAAGGTTGTAATGAGATAACTGACATTGTGAAATAGGAATAAAAGGGGTAAAGTGTAGGGGAAGTGGGAAGTATAGGGAAAAGGTAATAAGGGAAAAGAAAAAATGTGGAAAATTAAAAGATGGAAATAAAGTATTTTTAATTTGGGAGGGGAGGAGTGGGTGAATGGAGGGCAGGGACAAAGGGAAAAAATGAGAACCAAGACCTGTCATGTAACTGTACAAGATCCCAATAACTAATGTTACTGTACCATACACCTAAAATGTACCAATAAATGCAATAAAAAATTCTTATGCTTCTCATCACACCATACAAGAGAAAATTATCAGATAGTATGAGGGTAGAGTCTGTGTTTGAAGTCCACAAACTAAGATATACTCAATTTCATTATTGATCACTTACATTTTTCTCAGTAAAAACCAATAAATTGTGTCTAGACATCCTTCCTATGTGATTCCTGATCAAGATATATCATAGTGCACAGGAAACATTTTCACTTGCCCCCATTAGAGAAAATAGGATTCTGGCATAAGAGTTAGAAAATTAATACTATAGACAGGTATCACTGACTTGTTCCTAAATATCCAGTGTGTAAATCTATTCACCTCTTTTCTGTTACTGCTTTTTGGCAGTATAGATGGAATTACTCAGCTTCACAATATTTTTGCACCTTAAGCAAATTTGGAATTTAAATGTTTAGTTATTTTTGTTTTTGTTCAATTAGAGCACTCTATCTTTGTAAAAATAGCATGTTTAGTGCTAGATAGAACTGTGAACAGGAACTGGGGTGTAGCAGGATGCAAAGTGCTAAAATAGTCCTCAACCCCATTCACAATATTACACTGTTCTCTTTATGAATATCTTAATTTTTTAACCAGAAAGATATTTGTTATTGTCTTCAAATAATTTAACATTGTAGCCTTTTCTAAATGAATATACAGTCACTATGTGTACACAATCTTATCACAGCATCTCTTTTACCTTATTTCTAGTTATACAAAATATTCCTAACAGAGATGAACTTGTGGGTAGGAAATTTATCAGTCTGTAGTAGCTACAGAGATTTTTACTTTTAATTTGTATTACACACCAAGACTGAGATAGGATCTAAGGAATCAGAAGTGACAGTCAGTTAATCTTTTCCAAATACATGTATATCATGATACAGATAACAAAAAACAGTCTCAAAAAAAAAAAAACTGAAAACAACTTCAGATCCCGCTCATTTTGTTTAAATAGTGTGGAATTTGAGTATTTTATCATTAGTTTTATTAATAATATATAAATCACACTTACACTCATATTATATATCTGTTAGCTATTAGTAACAGGAGCAGCATTTATTACATATTTACCCCATAGTTGATACAGTTATGCCAAATAGAAATAAACATGAAAAAAATGCTAAATCTCAAAGTTATGAAAAAAAACTTGCTTTCTGTTACAAAACTAAAGGAAGGAGATAGGATTCAAAATTAAATTGTCAGTCTTTGTGCTTGATCCACAAAGCTTTTCCTATGTTTCCAAAAGATCAGAATATTTCCATCGGAGGTTCAGAGGCATACATCACAATTTTTTCTCCAGAATGTTAAACTCTTCTGTTTCCTTCGTAACAATGAAATGATACCCTGATTTGATTTCTCTTCTTGAGTTATAGAAGACTGAAGAAAAGACTTGAGGAACATGTGGATGGATTCCAAAAAAGCCTGGAGTTTAGGACAAAATGAGATCAGTTCTAATCATTATGGCCCTTCTCTATCTGTGATCTTTGCCTCTAATCTCAGAAATCCTCTCTAGACTGGATGCAGTAGGTGTCCCATCTCCTTTCTCCTCTGATCTTCTTGACACTCCAAAGAGTAGAGCATGGAGAAAAAGGGGTCCTTTCCTGGAGAGGGAGGGAAGAGAGACAAGTGCTTGGATCTTGAAAGGAAACAGGTGCAGGACACTCCAAATAAGACTCCCTGTGTGTGTAATCAGACAGCTGTAGGCAAACACACATTCTTTCTTCTCTGTCCAATACACTGTAACTGATTAAACAAAAGTACTGCACTCCTATTTTCTTACTGTTAAATACAATGATTTAAGAGCTTGTCCTTGAGAAACATTGTACAGATAAAATGAAGCAATTTACAGGAGCACAGAAGTTGATTGGATCATGCCATTTACAAATCTTTCCAAATTGGTTCAACATGCTGTGACTAACCTCATAATTACTCACAGTCCTTTTTGGGTGTTTAGGTAGCTTTTTATAGAGTGACAAAATGTACAAATATGGATTCAATGTCTATGGGTAGCAGGACCATTGTGGGAATAAATAAAAACCAATTGAAAAATTTAGTCCTCCATGAAAATCAAGTCTAAATTTCATTGTATTCATAGCTAAAACTGTGACAATCCAATCAGGCTTTCTCACTATACACTTTCATGTATTTGTTCATGACAGAAAACAATGTCTACAATAGTCCTTTCTCCATCCATTCTCTCCCTAAACACTGAGTAAGGCTGTGGCTCTACTAAGTTCTGTCCAAAACTATGAATCCCATACCACTTAGTAAACTGAATACTAGAGAGAGCTCTGAGTCAGCTGAAGGAATCAACCATCTCACATATGGGCTTCCTATTTCAGAAAACCTCAAGGAAGAGATGTAGCAATGATCCCAACTGGAATGGAACAAACAAAATCAAAGCCTGGAGGAATAGATGAGTATGAACTATTTTATGTCTTGGAGGTTCATTGCACACAGTTAATAGCTACCTAAATTGATCCATGTTGTTGCCATCTCTAACTTCTGAAATTAAATGGGAGCTGATAAAAAAGATAAAATGAATGTCCACAAATGACACTGGGTTCTTCCCTTACTCAGGAGGAATTTCAAGTGTATTATTTGGTAATTTATTCCTTAAAAAGTAAAGTCCCTGATTGGAGGGGAGAGAGCACCCCTGTAATCACAGAACTTGGGGGCTGAGGCAGGAGACTTACAATGAGCTCAAGGCAAGAATGGGTTTCATAGTGAGTGCAAGGTGAACTATATAGTAAGACCCTTTATAAAGAAAATAAGTTCTCAAATTTTTATTGTGGTAAGATATAAATAAAGTTTCATTTTAGTTACTTTTAGCACAGTTTGATAATACAAATGATAGTATCATTTTTGTGTAAGCATTACTCATACCCATCTTCAGTAAATTATTATCTTCTCACCTGAAACTTTGTGGTCTTATGGAAACCCCTAAATTTTATGAAACATCAAGTATAATCTAGGGGGACCAAAGAAGTAGTATTTGTAGGTGAATTGTGGGTATATAATTTCTCTACAGTTTCAATCCTACATTCCAAATGAATGCCAAATGTCCTAGAATTAAATGCTCCGACTGTGGAGCCTCTTCAGGGTGTTGATAATGTCTCTGTTCCTCAGGCTGTAGATGAAGGGATTCAGCATAGGGGTGACCGCAGTGTACATCAATGAAGCCACCATGCCTTTGCTGGAAGAATATGACTCAGCTGAACCAATGTAAGTTCCAATAGCTGTGCCATAAAATAAGCAAACCACTGACAGGTGAGAGCTACAGGTGGAAAAGGCTTTGTATCTCCCACCAGATGATGGTATTTTGAGAATGGAAGAAACAATTTTATAGTAAGAGAGAAGGATTCCTAACACAGGAATAAAGCCAAACATGGTACCACCAAAATATGTGACCATAGTTTTGATTAACATATCAGAACATGAAAGGCTAAAGACTTGAGAAGGATGACAGAAGAAATTGGCAATTTCTGCATGCCTAAAGCAGGTAATTTGTAAGGTAACTAAATTGTGCAGCTGGGAATCCAAAAGGCTAACAAAGATAGATAGAAAAAGTAATAAGGCACAGAGGCGAGGATTCATAATGACTGCATAGTACAGGGGGTGACAGATCGCCACAAACTGGTCATAGGCCATCATAACCAAAAGCATGTCATCAATACAAATAAATATCATAAAAAATGTCATCTGTGTCAGGCAGCCCACATAGGAAATTACCCTGCTGTGAGTTAGGTGGTCCACAATCATCTTTGGTACTGTAGTGGAGATGAAACAGATGTCAACAATAGACAGGTTGGAGAGGAAGAAGTACATGGGGGTGTGGAGGTGGGAGTCAGAGATGACAGCCAGGATGATGAGCAGGTTCCCGAGCACTGTGACCAGGTACATGGACAGGAAAAGTCCAAGGAAGACAGGCTGCCGGTCTGGGTCCTCTGAGAAACCAATGAGATGGAATTCTGAGACAGATGTTAGATTAAGTGGTTCCATAATGCTTCAATACCTTTCCCAAAATTCACTGGAAAAATGAAAGCAGTAAATAGCACAAAAAACTCTACATGTAATAAATTCATATTTTTGCATTCAAAATATTCCATGTGGTACATAAAACCTTTAGCCATATTGATCCATTGTGAAAATCCTTTTGTGAAGAACTTTTTCATTATTAGGTTATTCATTATCCACCTTGTTCTGTACACTCCTAACTTCCATTCTAGTTTACAAAATTATAACATTAAGAGAGTTTGTAATTCTATGATTCCAGTGAAATACTTCCAACTCTTAAATAACATATAGATAATCCTATTAAAAACTAAGAAATATTCAAATATATCTTATTCTTAAAAGTGTTACACATTTCTTTACATAAATTGTCTATAATTAGTGTAATATCTGGGTTTGTTGGTCTGAAACTTAATTGTTCATAATCAAAATACATTGTGTTAAACTAATTAACTCTCAGGAGTGTTTCATCATTCTTTACTTTTCTGATCTTCATTTTTCAAGGATATTAGAGCTCCTGCAGTCTTTGTTGTTTATAAATTACTTAACATGTTATTCCTATTCACACCCATGGTGAACTCAGATTTGAATAAGCAAGTTCAAATGCATGGGTATGATTTTGTGACATGATTATGATGGATGTGGCATTAGTGCATACTGTTCTTGTGAATGATCAAGAATAGTAAGCTGTAAGAAGCATGTTTGATGTTTTGTATTTTATACAGATTTATGTTAATAAAATATAAAAATGGAAATAAAGAGTTTGTAAATGGGGAGGGGAGAAGGGGTGAAGGGAGGGCAGGGACAAGGAGAAAAAATGAGAACCAAGAACTGTCATGTGAAGGTACAGGATCCCATTAATGAATGTAACGGTATTGTAGACCAAGATTGTACCAATAAACTCAATTAAATATTTCTAAATGGATGCTTGTTCTCTGAACATAAAAAAAAAGTGCAACGCAGAAGTTATTGCCTGTGAAATAGAGAATCTTTTACACACAGAGGCTTTTTATTCTTCATCAACTAATGAAAACCATTACCTGGAAATACTTTATATAAATTGTAAGTTTATTATTATGACAATATGTTTAAGGTTATTCTGTCATTCTGTTGATCAAGTTAAGATATGTATACAGTGTAATATATCAGTGGGAAATACTTTGATTTCCAATGAATAACATGAAAAATTTTACTGCTTTTTTTTCCCGGAAAAGTTAGCCTTTACCACTGGCAATCTCTCATTCTTGAGGTAAAACTTCAAAATAACCCTGGAGTCTGCCCAGTAATTAACTCTGTAGGATGATACACACAGAGGTTTCATCATCTTAGAGAGATAAAATATTTATTCTGTTGCAGTGAACAAGACTCAGCTCTGGAAAGAAACTCAGGAAATTAACAATTTAGCCCCTTGTCATTGATCTGCTGCACCATGCATGATGTGTGTGAATCTGCTCTCCTGGCCCGTTCACACTGCTTGAGGAAAATAAGAAAGCAACACTCAACACTCATCTTGTGTAGTGGCAACTAAAGGAATTTTGGAACACAAGTAAGACAGCAATTGTAAGTTTTATTAAAATAAAGAATGATATCATATCTTTAGGAACTTTACTGATGAATAGAGTAACTTTATTCCAATGGCACCATAGCTTGGAGTGATATGAAGTTCTATACTGCATCTCAGAGTGAGGCATGCATATAAATACGCAAATACAAAATAAAGTATCCAGTTACAAAAAGAAGAAAAGAGTAACTTAGTTCTCAGAACCTAAATGGTATAAATATTATTCTTATAATTAATTATGATGATAACTAAATTTTATTTTGCTCTAATTTTCTGTACTTTAACCCCATGGAATCACTCCATATCTGAATAACTTTTTGTGCAGTCGTTCCAACTAGAAAACAACACTAACGTCACTGCTACCTCAGAAATTTTAAAAATGTTCACTCTACATAAACAAGAAAAAGACCTGAAATAATTAAAAATTAAATTGACAGATGATGTCCAATGCAATATTATTTTATTGTTTCCCAACCCCCACACACAAAATGAAGCATTTGTTCAGAGGTCTTCACCACAGGGTGCATAAGAGTTACAATTTTTAACTCATATCCAAAATAGAAATAAAAGGGAGGCTTGACATAGACCAATTTGAGGTTTTGTGAAAGAATAAAACTTCAATGGTATATTTTAGTGGTGACAGGAAAGAAAGCTGAATATCAAGAGCTCACTCCGTGATTGTTGCCACTCTATGATCTATGAAATCTGTACCTGTCCATCCTCTGGTGGAAGTAGCAGGTGCCACCCACTGTTCTGGGATCTATCAGGAACCTCCCAAAAGAAACAGTGAAATGAAAACAGGTCTCTTCCTGGTTTTAGCAGGAAGTAACATGGGTTTTAGTGTTAAGGGGACAACCTGCAAGGGTTACTCTTCATGGGATGGCCCGTGTCTATAATCACACAGCCAAATTCAAATGTGACTTAACACTTTTCTACTTAATAGCTTGCTGCAGACTTCATTAAAATGAAGTCCTCTCCATTTTCTTTAAGCAGTAACAATGTGAACCCTAAAATTCCACCAAGACAAAGCACATGAAATGAAACCAGCTGCACAGAACACATTGATGAGTTCCTGAAGTATAGCAAGACCTCAAAACAAGTTAGTAGCCATTACTCTCCTATACTTCAACATCATTATTATCATCTTCTTCCTCTTTTTGGGTCTCTTAGCAAACACTGCAGAATAATATATTTTTGCTACTATGAGTGTACGACTCCAATATGAATTACAAATGGGGTGGGTAGAAAGCAAATTTGAAACACTAATTCTGCTTTCCTCATCAAAGCTAAGCATATAAAATTTCCATTAATCATAACTGATATTTTAAATATTTGTACCTTCCCATGGAGCTACCCTCTTACTTTTGTCCTTATGACAAGGAAGCAACACTTCACAGATCCTTCCCACATCAATGAGTTACCTCTGAGCTTACTGGGTGATACTGTTTCTCTGCTGGGTTATAGGCAAGGAGAGCAGATCCAAAGACCCTGCTATGTCTGCTGCTTGAGGAAGCCTCAGTCTTTGTCCTCAATACTGAAATTAATGTAAAGTCAGATAGGTGCTTCCTGATGCAGATGGTCACGGAGGCTGAGGCCCAGGCCTGGGACTCACTTGACTGAAGTCATCAAACTGAAGGGCTGGAGGCACAAGCTTATTATTGACTACTATATATGACTTGTAGGTTCAATGCACAGGCACATAATTAGCCACATTGGTCCAAGCCTTCCAGATCTCTAAGGACTTCTTAACCTAATGGAAGAAGATCACTAGAAAATAACTGTCCACAGAGTTTCTTCCTTTACTCAGGTAAAGCTGGTGTGTATGAACCACTTCTGTCATTTGCATATTATTTCTAAATGTCCATGTACTTTTATTTCATTTGTACCCATGTAAAACAAAAGCCTCATAATTTAACCAAATTAAGTATGCACTTCACTGACTTTAATTACATTCACATTGATTTGAAACACTAAATATCCTATAAATTCAGAATATTTTCATTTTCAAAACTTAAAATTGATACTGAATTTTGAAAGGACTCTTTATTCTGTGTTTTTGTGCATGCCCTTTTTCTCCTATCATCACAAATGGCTTTTGAAAGAGCTAAGGAGGTGTTGTGTCATAGTAGGAGTATAGGAATCTGAGCTATTGCTTGTTCTAAGCTACACTAGATTTTCTGACTTCACTCAGAGGAAAGAACTCAGTTATAAAGCAAATATTAAAAGTTTACACTTTCAAATTGCTAATTTGTTCTTTGACAATAATGACAGACATAAATCAATTCATGATTTCTAAATGTCAGGATCTATTTGAGGGAGTGGATCTCAATTTTCATTTAGTACAAGCCAACTGAGGACTTCAGATGCAGATAGTTTGATTTCTTAAAGTTTGGGTTTTATGTAATAGTATTGGACACCCATGTCTCATAAATTGATAAATGAAATTGAGACTCCACTTTCTATTAAATTTAAATAATTTTTTAGATTTTTGAAAAAATATTTAAAGTAATTATTTTCCCCATATCACCAATGACAAAACTGCTTGGCTGTTTTCATACATAAATTTAAAGACTTTTATCTTTCCAAATTAAATCATAAGCACTGAAGAAATAAAGAACCCTAGTACTAACACACTGATGATCTCAGCTCTTACTGAAATCAATACATGCACGTAAGTGTACATTCCCACCCCTATTGCTTTTGAAAGGTGTTAGTTTCCATCAACATGCAGATTTAACTCTGAAATACATACAGATATATTTCAAATGCTTTAAATGATCTATAGCATTGCATGACAGAGGGATATAATTTAGTTTGTAAATTTATTTTGAAAAGTCTGGGCAAAATTAATTAATTGTTCACAACATTCAGGAGAAAATTTCTATCCAGTATGTGGGAAAAGATTAGTTGTCTGACTTTCATAATAGATGCATGTCCTATTTTACTATTAAATGCCTACATATTTTGTCTCAATAAAAATCAGCAATTATCATATAAATTAACTTCATGCAAATATTTTTATTAATATAGATCATCAAAATATCACACAGTTTCACCTAGCAATAATGTTTTCAAGATAACTAATAACAGATCTTATGGCATGTTGAGAATGACATTTTAAATTACTATAGAAAGATAAATAGTCAAAGTCAGAAAAATACATATTTTGTGCTATATATTGTTCTGCTACAATATTGATAATGGGTGTAAATCCCTGCACCCTTCTGTGCTAATACTATTTAATTTAAAGAGAGAATAATATCCACTTTCTCACCATTTGTGACATGTAAGAAAGATAGAACAAATAAAAGGAAAGAACAAAGAAAGGAAGGAGGAAAGAAAGGGAAAAGAAAGTAATAATAATTAAATAAATAGTGTAAGTCTAGAGTATTCTGAAGAAAGGTGGTTGGAGAAT